CCATTGGAGAATTTTCAACATAAAATTCTTAGAGGATGGTCCATCGGGAAAAATGCTTAATTCTATTGTGCTCAGCTCGTCGAGCTCTATCGATTGGGGTACCTCTCGTTAGCATCTGTGATTAACATTTCGGATAGTTCCCTCATAAGTACAAAGACGATAGACTGCTCTGCGTAGGAGACTTCAATGCACATTTTCAACCCTGGGCGAAAAGTGATGTTCCGTCAACAAAAGAAGGAATCTTGCTAGACGAAGTTCTTTGATCTATGAACTTATCTCCACTTGTTTCTGGAGTCACTCGTTTTGCATCTAAGACTTGTCTAGATTTAGTTATAACTATGAATTCATTGTTCTTAAAAAATGTAGTTATTGAATCACCTTTAAGTAACAGCGATCATAGTTTTATATTGTTTTTAGCAAGACCTGGTACAACCAATGAACGTGTTGCTAAACAACAAATTTCAACCGTTGATAATTTTACATTGTCAAATGCCATAGCTGCTGTGCTCGCTGAGAAACTGTCTTAGTTTTATTAATTTTTTTTTCCCTCGTCTAGATTTTTGCTATTTAGTCTTTTTCTTTTATACTTATATATACATTGAAGGTTGATAATGGGGTTCGTCCCGCTGACCTTGTTTGTTTGAGAATGAATAAAGACATAAAACAAAACAACCTTACTGTTCCGAATATAACTTTTATTAAGAAAACAACAGAACGACAGTATACGCGCCGTAACTACGCCGTATCAGACAAGTACTTTTAATCAATAGTTAGTTACGACGAAATGATATAGAGTCGATGGTTCTCGCTCGACTGCGTCTGGTACCGTCAAGATCTTTATGTTCCAATGTCCTCGTAAGCCGTTCCATGATAAAAATAGTATATATTCTATACCGTAAACTGACCGTTTTTAGGCCGTTTTGTCGACAAGTCATTCACCTCTTTATTTCGCTTCTGCTACTAGTATAAATGGAACGCTGATTTTCTTCGAATATATATCGAGTTTATAACTTCGAAATTTTTCTCTTCCTCTAGTATATAAGTCATCGAAGCTTGTGTGGAGGGAGTAGCCTTAGTAGACGTACCAGTACTAGTGATAATACCATACTCCTGATACTGGTAAACCATGGTTCAAACGAATCCAAAAAATTGAAAATATTCAGAACATAATATTTTTCAGTTCATGATTAAAAATAATGAAATTTGAAATATGTCCTGAAAAAGGCCTAAAAACGACCCGTTAATGATAACGCTTTCGACGACCTGGCGTTCCTATACTTCCAGACCGTGAAGCGCGTATATGCGGTAGAAATACGGTATGTTTACGGTCATTTACAGTGCGTATATGCCCGTATACGACGATCTTCTTTAAGTCGTAAACACGCCGTGTAGGGAACGGCGTAAATACGGTCGTAAAACACCAGCATGGTTTCGTCGTTTTTGAGACAAATAAATTATTGTGGAAAAGATGGTATCGCTTTTAATTAAAATAAAACTAAAATGTATTTTTTCGAAAACAACGGATTTCTTCAAAAAACCGATAACCACAAAGAGTTTCTTAACTAAAATCTTCATTTAATTTAAAATATTAATTCAATAAATTCAGTTCAGCTAACATATATGCAAAGTACATAAACTGAGTCATTATATGCAACAGTCTACAAACCAGAAATTTCCGAGAGACATAAATAAATGAAAGGCATTTCCTTTCACCATTGTTTAGCAAAATGTGCCTTTTCAAACTAAAACCCTACCCACTGGCTATTCCATTCCTCAATACAAAATCATTCAGAGGTTTCTTAACTCTTACTTTTGCTTTTTTTGGCAGCATATATTGCTACTCGTTCTTCCCTGATTCGTATTGCTTCCTCATTTTCATTCTCATCCTCATCCGACCCAAATAAATCAATGTCGTCATCTTCTTTTGTTGGTTTTTTATCGCTTTTTTCTGTTGTTGATG